TCTCTCTCTCTCTCTCTCTCTCTCTCTCTCTCTCTCTCTCTCTCTCTCTCTCTCTCTCTTCTATTTAGGCGCGGTCTGAAGAGGTATCATTGGGGCCGCACCACAAGCCCTCTCTCTCTCTCTCTCTTCTCTCTCTTCTATTTAGGCGCGGTCTGAATAGGTGTCGTTGGGGCCGCACCACAAGCCCTAATATCCACAGGATCAAGTCCTCAGGTAATTCCTCCCAGCAAGTTCCTTTGAAAAGGCGACGAAAGCGATTGGGATTCTCTTGAGATCGTTCATGGTCCCTTTGCTGAGCCTCTTCTAATGTTGACGTACACAGCTCATGCCTCCTCACAAAAGAGTCAAAGCTGTCGTTATCATTATCAAAATCCCCATCCAAGTGATTGCTCATAAAATGGAGACGAGACAACTTGGCAGCGACGGGAATTAAACGCTCAAACTCCATTCTAGTAGAATAGGAAATAAAATGGTCATGGGATCTGCAAAAGGAGTTTTTGCGAAGACAACATAAGATATCCAGTATAAGTTCCTTCTCCTCGGTCGGTATTCTTGAGAAGACACGGGTTTGACGGCCATCACTCTCATCATAGAAGTCCTCGTCACACAACTTAAAGTCACGTCTTTCAGGCTCCCCAGTAAAGAAGGGTTTGTTGAAGTACCCCGATGTCCTTGTCAGTGCAGCAACATCTCCGTGGGGCTTATAACGTTGTTTAACAGCGTTTGCAGCGACGATTTCGAGTCGTGTCTGCCGACGCCGACCTGAACCATCGGCTCGGGCGATCAGGATGTCGTTCTCACGATCTCGCACCTCAGCAAACCAGCCCCAATCCAAACAATACGGGGCGTAACTGATCATGCGCATCCGCAAGGGAAAGCGCTCGTCATTCTCTCCCACCATGTCGAAATCGATAAAATGAACCATGGCATGCGGAATGTTATGGGGACCTTCCCATGTAGTCAGCTGTTGCGAGTTTCTGCAAAAGTCAAACATTTCGCCGGCGAGAGCCATGTCACTCTCCTGCGCTACATCAATCCCTGACCGACGGAACATTTTACCCAAGTAATCATGGGAGTGAGAGAGTGCAAACCCTGCCAATCGGTTATTGAACTCCCTATAGCTTTTTTCCCGATTGTCATCACCGCCAAGATCTGCTTTTTTTGAAATCTCCTCAAAGAATTCAGGGGATTCCTCCAATAAATCCTTAGCCAAGTCTACCATTACACAAGCGAAGGACATATCTGCGCTGCACAAGTATCTGATAAAGCACCCACTGAACTTGTCAATGAAAGTGTCGCGGTCGCTCTTCAGCAGATCCGCATTTCCTGGGCTCATCAGGAATTTACATAATCGCCCGATGAAGCACCTGGTCCTGCGACTCCTGCCCACACTGAAACATTCGAACGACTTCAGGCTGGCCACTTGAATTGGGAGCACGTGGTGCTCCTCGAACACACTCCCATGGAAAGCGGTTCGGAAGTCGAGTAGCACATCGTCGGGGTTGTGCGCTTCGTCCAAGAATCCAGCCATGGGTCTGAGTTTACTCGAGATTCGAGAATACGTGTATAGCAGCTTGGTTTTCAATGGACGACAAACTTTAAGGCAGACCTCATCGAACGGAGGACTCGTTTGGAAGGAAACGGGGGATGCCACAATGATTCCTTTGGTTGAAGAAATCACTGTTCAGCAGGACACTGTTCAGCAGGACAAGAGGTGGGAGACCGGCAAGAAGAAGAAGAAGAAGAAGAAGAAGAAGAAGAAGAAGAAGAAGAAGAAGAAGGAGACCGGCAAGAAGAAGAAGAAGAAGAAGAAGAAGAAGAAGAAGAAGAAGAAGAAAAAGAGGAAGAAGAAGAGGAAGAAGAAGAAGAGGAAGATATACAAGTCCAGAACTCCAAAGTTTTGCTGAACATACTAGGAAGAAAGCCTAAAACACTTTTGTTTCACAGAGTCATCAAACTGCACAGACTCATGTACTGAGCAGGAGTAGAAGAGACTGAAGAGAGAGTAGGAAGTGAAGGCGGGACGAACTTGCCGTGGTGACAGAGGCAGCAAACGATGATGTGGGGGCTATGGATTGGGATCTGGTCCTCCAGTCTGAGATCAGCGTGGACTTGGTAGAATGAATCCTGGTGAAAAAAAAAAAAAAAATTGTGAAGTCGAAGAGCAACAACAACGCAACAAACAAGTGGCAATCGGCTTCACAGATGAGCCAACGCTGCAGAAACCTTTGTTCCCCCTCCGCATCAACAATCACAAAGGCAGATAGAAGCATTGCCTCCACACCAATCAATCAACAGAAAGTCGCGAAAACAGGGAGGAGGAAGAGGAAATTGAGGAATAAAAAGTCGTTCTGCATTGTGATGCAAGATAGCACAGTGGACTAATCCTGCAACTTGTAGATGAATCAAGTACTAAGTTACACCCAATAGGAATCAGTATATTAGTATAGTGCTTTAAATCTGGCAGCATGAAGTGAAGTGACCACCCAGGCTCAAAGTGAGAGAAGTTCAGAAAACCAATTAGTACTCTGACTCCCCTCCCTTACCCCTTCTTAGATTAATACACAAGGCCTTTCAGAGGAGGAGGGGGGGGGGGGGGGGGGGGGGGGGGAAGGGATTTATCAATCAGTTGAACCCACACAATATCCGCTTGGACATCCCCACCTGCCAACCTATGATGTCAAGTCCAAGGAGAGAATACTTCAAAACCTGCTCCTTCTCCGACGCATGCGAGTTGTGCAGTGAGCACCCCAACAGCCAATTTAGGCAAGAGTAACACAAGATCAGAGAGAATCTGGGCTAGATGCGATGTACCTTACATGTTGCTGGCTCCTCTCTTGGTCCAACCAGATGACCACAAACACGGACAAAGATGTGAAGAGCTGCTCAGAGAGATGCTCCAGTGATCATCGCCATCACAAAGGAATTTATTTCAAGCTGCCAATAATCTGAGACCCCTTCCCCCCCCCCCCCCCCCCCTCCCTTTATGCCTTCCTCCGCCCCCTGCCCTCCCTTCCCCCTCCATGGATTTTTGTTGTTGTTGTTGTTGCTGTTGTTGTTTGGAGCAGGGCCATACTAATCTTGGGCCTTGCTTCGCTACATACCACTCAATATGTATCTGGAGCCCGTTATCGTGGTCCCAATACATTACAAATGTTGGACTCGTCCGAATGCACCTGGTCCAGAAAGCAGCCAAATGCATGTTGATGTTGAGTAGTTGAAGCGAGCCCCATTCAGAATCTCTGGATCGTCCCAATTTTAACGGATGTCCCGAAGGACATCCGTTAAGACCCGGCCCGTGCGTACTTTCTGATGATTCTTCTCAAAAATTTCGCTGGCGCTGAGATTTCTTCTTTTTTATTATTTTATAAAAAAAAAAAGGCTAATTCTTGAAGCCCAACCAATTCAATTACCTGGGGTGAAGTCCCACCGCCAAAGTTGAGTTTTCTCAACGCTGAGCTTTCTATCACGTGTGGCATGGTGGGATGGAGCTCTGCCATTGATGTATTGAGAATCTAAGGGTACCGAAATACAGGCGAATAACCTATTAGATTTGGTCATTTTGTAGAATTTTTCTTTGACGTGAAATCCGTTTTGTAGTATGCGTTGGCCCTTTTGGTTTGGGCGGGAAGCCATTTTCCATTGAGAAAACTACCCTACCGAGGGTAGGGTACATTTCTCAACTTATTTGCCTTTCGTTTTTTTTTTTTTACAGATATCGTTACATCCTGAAACGGAGGAACTCTGACAGCTGTGCTTGGCTCTCTCGCATCAAACTCTCTTCCTTCTTTGGGCAATGAACGCATCTGGCCATCCATGTTGTCCCTGTCCATTTTACGAATGGTGGCCTCCTGTCCCCTCACCATGGGAAGTACCCTTTTTCCACGGAGACATTCACTCATTTCTCCGAGTTACTTCATCAAAAATAAGGAGAAAAGCTGTTTCTAGCGTTTTTTTTCAGTTTTTTAATTTTTTGTTTCGAATTTATTAATGTCAAAATGGTGTCACACGGTTGCGTTTCTAAACTAAACTTGGGCGGTGGGACTTCACCCCTGTTGAATCTGGACAGGACAGCCTTTCAGGCCTTTTTTTTTTTTGTCATTATAGTATTATATGCGGGGAACCCCGTAGCAGCCACATCTGTGCTCAAGCCTCCAACGAGGGAACATGCGCGAGCTGCACCCACTACCGTACCAGGTGTGTTACCTGCTACAGCAGGTGGGCGATACCGGCCAGGGATCAGCCGGTAGCATCAGGACAATGGGTCAGTCACTGTGCCTCCACTCTGGTCCCCTCCCCCTATGAACATCGGCAGTCTCCGCTACATGCCACTCGGGGGGACCGACGGCATATCTCTAGGTGGCTGGAGCCAAGCTTGCCCAGGAAGGTACATGAGGCCAATGGGGATTGAACCCAACACCTCCTGAATGCCACTTGCACGTGCCTTACCAACTGAGCTAGGCCGCTGGATCTGGCATTGAGATTTCCAACACGGTGAGCTATGGAATAACGTAAATGGGCTAGCAGTTTATTCCACAGCGTGCCTGTTTGTGCCCGTTAACCATTTCTGTAAGGAAGCAACACATCCTCTCTCTCTCTCTCTCTCTCTCTCTCTCTCTCTCTCTCTCTCTCTCTCTCTCTCTCTCTCTCTCTCTC